TGTGATCTCAGTGAGAACTTTCGCAGTGCTCTCATCTGTCGCCCCTGCAGAATTCCTCGCTTACGTATGAGGGGAGCTATCTCCAGACTTCAGAAAGGAATCTGCTGTCTCTACACTGACTTTCATAATGTTTTCATTCTGTATTTCTGCTCCTCAGTCCTACATTCTCTGCTGTATTAGTTGTCTTAAGGCAAATTGACCTATGCTCTGTTTCTTAATAAAAATGGATGAACTGTAGCCATCCTGCAGATTATAAATAATTGGTTCATACCTTTATTATAGTTGGGGTTTTAGTACACTTTGATAAGAGATGTAATTGAATGTATCATAGTTCTCAAGACTGTATGCTCTTGAATTACTTTGTGAGAATGGAAGTGTTTTGAAATTATTTGAAACTTAAATGAAGAATTTAGGATATGTGTATTTTAACAGTAGGAAAGCTCTTATTCTAAAGAGCTTTCTGTACCATAGTCACTTAACTTTTCAACAACTGCAGTTAAAGAGCAATAGTAGCCAAGTAAAAAAGTATCACAGAATTAACCATAGATACTACTCAATGGTTTTATACAAACTAAGCTAAGATCTGAGTTACCTCTAAAGTAAAAATCTTATTTGTGCCTTATACTGTCAAGTTTTTGTAGTTAAAAGTCTTCAACTCTTATTTCCAGCAAGTCAACAATGGTCTTACGCTTAGTGATCTCCCTCTGCATATGCTGAATAACATCTTGTACAGGTTCTCTGATGGCTGGGACATTATTACTCTGGGTCAAGTGACCCCAACTTTGTACATGCTCAGTGAAGACAGACAGTTGTGGAAAAAACTCTGCCAGTACCATTTTGCAGAAAAGCAGGTAATAAACTCTATCATTTGTATAAATTTGTCTCTTATATTTGTAATATAGTATACTAATAATGAAGTGTGAACTCGCCATTTTTGAGATAAAAATGTGACAGCATGCAGTAATAGTGAAAATGTTCTCTTTTTTGGGGACTTGGTTCATACCAAATATTGTATTCAGCACGTCTGCGAGTTTAGGATAACTGTCAGGGTGTTTCCCTGCATTACTTAAAAAAAATGTCTACTGTAATATGATTTTTTTTGTTTTCCTTTAAGTACACAACCCCCAGCAAGTGTGGCAGGGGATACCTCTGAGGTGTTTCCAACTTTAGTACCTAAACCAGAACTTTGTTCACTAATCAAGGTAGGCAGACAGATTGCTCAAACTTTTAGGCTACACGAACAGTCTAGTGAAGCCAAAATTGGGTTTTTGCAAAGAAGAATAAAACAAATGCTTGATGTTTCTGAAATTAAGAACAAAGAGAAATGGTACTTTTGTGTCACTTCCTCATTAAAGTAATCTAGGAATGCCTCTAGATGTCTTTGTTTTCTGACAGTAATATATGCTGGGGCAAAATCAGGCTAGGTAGAAATAAAGGTATGAAAATAGAAGTTACTGTATCAGAGATGGAGGAAGAACTTCAGAAACCTAGTACATTCCAGACTGGAGGAAGTGAAAATACTCATTCTTAAATCTGATAGGTTGAAGTGGTACCATTCGGTCGGTGACTACTAGATTAATTATTATTATGCAGGAAAGGTAGAAGTGAAGTTAATTAACTCACGTGGAGTTAACCAAATAAGAATTTTGGTGAGATAAAAGGCTTTAGGATGGATATAGACAGACAAGGGCAAACTGAAAAATCCTTAAGAGGTGGCTCAGAAGAATGCAAGGTGAAGTTATGAGGATAAGAAGTTTAAGCTTAATGTAGCAATGGAGTGGATTTTGAGCATAGATGAGGTAAGCTTTACTGAACAGGGACAAAACTGGCTGGAGTGGAAGCTGTTACCATAAGGTAAAGCTGGGAAAAGGATCACTTAAGTGTTTTGGTAGAATGAGCTAACCCCATGCCTTATAAAGGACACTTACACGGAGTTTCCAATATGTTCCTAATTGTTCACATTAAATTTCTTACCAGGTTATTAATGATACAAATCTAATGATTTTTATTTATTTTCCAATATCAAACTCTGCTTTTTCTGTTTGAAAGTGTGCTACCTTAATAAGCTGCAGAATCACGTTAGGTCGCTTTTCCTGTGCTCTTCAGTATTATTTGTTGAACTACTGAAAAACCACAGAAACATACTTGATATCTGAAGAGCACTTTTGGAAAAAACGAGAACTCTACACAGGGAAGCTATTATGAAGCAAAGTGAAGTGTAGCTGAAATCACAAAGGCAGTGCTATTCTCCCCATCTAGGCGTTGTCTTCTGAATGAAGAAAGCCCTTAATATATTAGCATTAACCCACACTGAGTAGAACAAGAAGCCTTTTACAAATACATACTTAATAAACCCTGGCTGTGTATTAAGCTGGGGAGGAACAGCCATTGTGGCTCAGCTAATCTTTACATGCAGATTATGTCCTCAAGAAGTACATCCTTCACTGACTGTTGCTGTCGTTCTAGAAAGATCATAAGTAAATGTGGAAAATAATCAGTTATATACTTCTAAAATTAAAGAAAAAGCACTATTTAAATCTGTAGCTACTGTCTTAACAGAAAACCCTATTTGTAATGCACAATCACTTAAATCTGTTTCCTGAGTGGGTTTTTTTAAAAGTATAGAAATAATTACTTATGGGTTTAAATATTGGTGGTGTTGTATGGTTGTGACTGGAATTAGAATCATTTCAAGACAGTGGAGTTGATCAGTTGTGTACGTCCTACTTTTTTTGGCAAATACGCACTCCTATTTTTAGTGGTTTGCCTTCCTTTTTTTTTTTTTGTGGCTAGATCTCTCTTGCTGCTTTTCGGAGATGTGTCATGTCAGATTGTTGACTTCAAAGAATTCCAGTTAAAAACTTCAGTTTAACTACCTTTCTCCTCCCCCCTCAGTGCTTTACCTGATTTGATGACTTCTTTAACAATTTTAAAGGAAGACATTAATTTTATGTCCAGTTTTGTAGGCATTTGATTCCGTCAGAGAAAGGTCACATTGACTGGAAGCTGATGTACTTCGCACTTCAGAAATATTACCCGATAAAGGAGCAGTACGGGGACACCTTGCATTTCTGTCGGCACTGTAGTATCCTCTTCTGGAAGGTAAGAGCTTTGAGCCAGATCATCAGAAATAGGTTCACACAGCTGCTGGTGATCATCTTGTTGGCTTTCTCATGTGAGATGTGATTGAACCACTAATATCTAACTTTGAAATCATATCTAAGACTTCCAGGATTAAAACCCAAAGTTGTTTTTTAGCGTTCTTACCTCTTTATATTCGATAGCTTCAATACTTGGATTTGCAAGGAAAAGTGCTGTGTGGGAAGAGTTGCACTCTGTGTCTTCTCGTACCTCTTTAATCTTGTTAGGAGCTTTTCTAATCTAAGTTTCTAATGTAATGTAAGCTTTCTAATGATGGTATGGCAATCAGTGTCTCTAATGACACCTTATTACTCTACTTTTCCTACCACATTGGTGTAAAACTCTCTATTTTTACAGTCTTGTTTCCGTCCCGTATAAAGGTTGGGGAGGAATGTTTGAAACTTCATTCAAAATGCGTTTCATGCAGATTCTGATGTTTACCATGAAGCATAGTCTTTCTTACACTGGGACTTTTCATTTCTGTAGCGCGTTTTCACGTTTAACTCCTGTGCGAACACGCAGGCCTGCTTTTACCTTGCGTTGCACCATAATCTAGCCTTCCGGTTAGTGAGACTTCTTGATTTTTGCAGCTCAGAAGCTGGATGTGGGTCACACCAAGTAGACAGCAAAGAGCACAAAATGTTGGAGAAATCTTGGAAAATAGGCATATTCTAATTCCCAGAAGTGAGCTGCTTTGGTGTTGTCGTGTAATTTTAAGGGAAGTTGCATGTTGATGTGAGGATTTTTTATTTTCCATAGAAAAGCTAGGCTGTTTAACAGGATAAAGCTAACTTTCATAAAGTAGCATGTCACTGAATGACATGGCCTGTAAGTGACAGGACAAGGGGTAATGGGTTTAAGTTGAAAGTGGGGAGGTTTAGATTAGATATCAGGAAGAAGGTCTTCCCGGAGAGGGTGGTGAGGCACTGGAACAGGTTGCCCAGAGAAGCTGTGGATGCCCCATCCCTGGAAGTGTTCAAGGCCAGGCTGGATGAGGCTTTGAGCAACCTGGTCTAGTGGAAGGTGTCCCTGCCCATGGCAGGGGGGTTGGAACTAGATGATCTTTAAGGTCCCTTCCAACCCAAACCATTCTGTGATTCTGTGGTTCTGTGAATGCTGTTATCTTAAAGCTGAGTGTCCTTGATGTCACAGGGGCCCTTCCAGGAACTAAAATGAATAGTAGGAGAGCAGGTAGTCAGAATGGGCTTCTGCCATGGGCGTTAGCTGAAGAACTTGTGTCAACCATGACATTGCAGTGGAATTAGTCTGTGTCATATTGCTCAGTAGGGTGAAGTTTTCTCTTTGAAAGCAGAGATGTGAAAGGTAAGCACACAGCCTGCATGCATGTGGGCATTTTTGGTACCGGATCTGTTTGGATGGTCTTGGTTTGTGTGAAAGGTTAATGCTTTCTACAGTACATTTTTCTCATTCTCATCTTGGTATAATTGAAAGTACAGCACTTTTAATCCTGGAAATGACTAAAACGTGTTTGGAATTAAGCATATAACTTTGGAGATGGTGTGTGTCAGTAAGAGGCAGCAAACCTGTGCAGGCAGATGTCCTGTTACCTCAACCACTCCAATCTGCTGCTGGAACAATAGCAGCCATGCTGTAGTTCTACATTTTTAGTGAAGCACAACACAGCCAGTTGTGAAGGTGTTTTGTTTGGATTGATGAGCAGTACCTACTAGGTCACCATTCCAGTGCTGACAGCCTCATCCTGGAGATTTGGGCAGCTCTTATGTGACAGCGTGGTTACAGTTAATGGTATGTGTCTGCAGCAGAGCTCTGTACGACGTGTTTGGGGGTGGCTGCAGAGCCTGCAGGTTGAGGAATGGGATTATCCCTTTTCACTTGGCACTCATCTGGGATACTGCATCTGGCTGGGGGTCCCCAGTAGGAAAAGGATACTGATAAACTGGATGGAGTTCAGGTGGAGGCCAGATAATCAGGGAGGCGTGAGGACTTGCCCTGTGGGTTTGAACTTGCCCTGTGGAGAGTCTGAAGGACACTGCTTCAGAGGAATTTAAGGGCCTGCCAGGAGGGCAGCCAAGGAAGGGAATGCTTTGGCCATAGAGGGGTGCAGTTTCCATCCTTGATTTTTAAGCCCTTACTGGATAAAGCTCAGAGCAACCTGGTCTGATCTCACAGAAAACTCACCAACCTGGTCTGATCTTGCAGCTTACCCTGCTTTGAGGAGAAGGCTGGACTAGAGATCTCCTTGAGTGCCTCCCAACCTGATTACTCTGCAAGCCAGCATGGCAATTTTCCTTCTCTGGGTCTTGGAATCTAAGCCTTGTCCCTGTCTTAAAATGAATTGTGTTCTGCACAGCTGGCACCCTTACTGACAAGGACCTACGAGGTTAATCACTGCTCTGAAAAACAGTCCCTTTGTTTACAGGGGGACTGGTCAGCACTGTAGTGCTATTCACTTCGTGTTGTGGGGGTGGGAAACCTGCTTTTTCAGACACTTGTGTCCATGTCCTTTCCCAAGCTTCCTAAGGAGAGGTGAGAAATGGGACAGGAGGTACATTATTGTAGAAAAATTCTGTGCTAGGTGAAAATATTTCTTAATCAGAAAGAGCTTGTATTGGGCTTTGACAATTCATTTACGGTGCAGTATCCTACTTGGTCAGACAGATTATTAAATATATGGATGAGTGGTTGTCATATAAAGTACAGATTTTTGTTCTCACCTGAAGCTTTTACTCTGCCTAATTCCACTGGGCATATAGTGGGGAGAGAAAAAAAAAAATTAAAGAAATCACATTTGCTTTACACAGGAAAAATATTAAATGTTTTAATCTTGAAACAAATGGAAGCACTGGATTCTTAGGTAGTTAATAATACATAAAATACAGTTTCTTTTAGTGGTACCCTTCTAGGGTCGTGCAGCTTTTGCTTTTAAGGGCATTCAGAAGAACTTCAGGCCATGAGCCCAACACTTCTTGGTATTGCACCTTCCCCTCCCCTTCAAGAACAAAGCAAAACGTTGGAGCAGTGGCAGATGAAGAAGTAATTCAGGGCATGGAGAAGACGAGCAGAGGTTAATTTCTTGTAACTTAGCTGTGTTAAAGCTAATAGGGGTGTGACTGCTCATCATAAATTCTTCTCAGAGCCAGAGAAGGGACAAATAAATGTGGAAGTCATTTAAGCTTTGGGAAGCTTAAAGAATTTTAGAATTAAAGAAGGGACAGCCTTGGTGCAGGTAAGTTGTAGAAACGAGTTGTGGGTAAACTTATGCTGAGAGTTAAGGGTTTCCAAGAACCAAAGCAGTGTGGTGCTGAAACAGCCCCAGCGCACAGGCCTAGTGCATGATGGGAAGAATTTTCATCAGTTTATGGCATTGATAATACAATTTAATTGCTGGCAGCATGAGGGCTACACGTAGGGAATTCTTCCACTCGGGCATTCTGTGCCCTTTTAAAGAAGGGACTGATGGCTACTGGATTGAATTAGCAAACAGTTGAAGTAGGGAAATGACTTTGCCCTTTTCCCTGTGCTCTAACATTAATGTTACTTTTAAGAAATCTTTAAGAGCTTTCGAGAAGCAGCCTTTGTGCTCCTGTATTTGGTTAAAACCTGCGACCACAGTAATGTTAAATACGATATGGAGACTCGTAAATTTACTGTAGGAAGTAGAGTGATGTAATAGAACATCTCATACTCTGCTGTTAACGGAGGGAATGACTGTAAAAAACTTTGTCAAGTGAGTCTTTGAGAAGTGACTTGTCCGTGATGAAAGTTAGCAAAATATGTAATTTCAGTAGTGTAAAATAACGGCAAACTACTTAATGACTGATGCCCCTGTGAACGCTTTTTGCTTACGCTGTTCCTGCTGCTCCACGGCGCAGCAACCGTGGGCAACTCTTGTATTGCCTTGGCTAACTCAGTAGCACGTTTCAGTCGTCCCCGAGATGGCCGTAGAAGTTGAAATACCTTTTCTTTCAACAGCCAGGGCTTTTATGCAAAACAGTGTAATTGTTTTCCAGCAGTGATGTGGGGCTCGTGCTGGTTTTGGTTCTCCCGCTGGTCGTGACTTGCCGGGGGGATAAGGGGCTGTCTTTCTGAATAGCACATGAACCTTAGCTTCAATAAACCTTAACTCTGCTTCTTTTACTTTATGGCTCTCCTTCCTGCTTCCTTCTTCACGATCCCAAAGGACTACCACCTTGCTTTGTTACTGCAGGTATTTCCTGTGTGTCTCATCTGTTTTCATTGCTGACTGTTCGGGAGTGTTAGAGTGAATAACGTCTCCATTTCCAATTGTTTGATACTCTGTGTTTGGATTTTGTTTCCCCACATCAATTTAGCAGCAGGGATACTTTTGTTTCTTGTTTTTTTT